TTAGAAACAGGACCTAAATTGATCGAAAAAATAGAAGAATATGGGGAAGTCGCAGGATTGAAAATAAATAAGGAGAAAACTGAGATACTAGTGAAGAATATTACTGAGAAGCAAAAAAAAAAAAGAATTGATGGATAGATTAGATATCCAGGTCACAAAGAAAGTGAAATACTTGGGAATCCAATTAACAGCAAGATGAGGGACACTTAAAGAAGATAATTATTATAGATTAAAACAACAGATTAAGATAGACCTGGAAAAATGGGAAAATTTACAACTATCACTGATAGGGAGAATAGCGACGATTAAAATGAACAATTCTGATAAAGTTGGGAAAATATTTTGATGATTTAAATAAGATAATTGTCAGCCACATAGCTGGAGGAAGTGGGAGGGGAGTGATGTTAATTGAGTAGCTCTTAGTAGACAAAATATAATTCTTTTGATAGTTCAAGGTTAAAAAGTGTAGCACAGAAAGAATTAGAACTTACTTTGGGATTGGTTCATGTGATGTGATGATGAGGGAAAAGGGGATGGTTTGTAGGTTGGGACATTGTGGGGAAGCCAGGAAACTTTTAGTTTCGGAATTCCACAGAATGTGCCAGGTGCTATTCTAATAAAAGTACTTTGAGATGATGTGTGTCTTAGAGTTACTGACAGGAATGGATTTTCCCTGGAACGCTGACAATAATATTAAAATACATATGGCAAGGGAAGAAAGCAAGGATTAAACTTAAACTGTTACAGGATACAAGATTGAAAGGAGGATTTGGGCTACCCAATTTGGAATTATATTATCAGGCCGTGGTATTGATGTGGATGGAAGAATGGATTGTATTAAGAAACACAAGGCTTTCAACGTTGGAGGGACATGATTTACAATTGGGTTGGCAAGCTTTTTTATGGTGTAAGAAAAATAAGATACATGGTTACTTTCAAAGACATTATGTTAGAGATGCTTTATTGTCAGTATGGGAGAAAATAAGGGAACAACATTATATGAAAATACCAGTCTGGTTATCAATAATGGAGGCATTTATATATCCAAATGTTTTTAAAATGGGATATATTGTTAGATATGATGTTTTAAATGAAAAGGGTGAACTCGAAACAAAGCAAGAACTAGATGAACAAGGGATAAATATGAATTGGTATTCATATATGCAAATACATTCTAGATATGAAAAAGATGTTAAAACAGATGGATTTTATAATGAATTGACTGAATTAGATAAAATTTTAACAGGAATGGAAGAAAAAAAGATTAAAAAATTGTATGGTTATTTATTAGGAGTGAAATTAGAAGAACAAGTCAAGAAGATGATGATAGCCTGGGGAAAAAATTTTGGCTATGGGATAGACTTGGATAAATGGCAGAAACTATGGGATAGAAACTATAAATTAACAATGTCGACAGCTAAAAAGAAAATTTGTATAAGATGTTTTACAGATGGCATCTTCCCCTGGCAAGACTGGCAAAGATGTTTAAAGACAAATCAGTGAACTGTTGGAAATGTCATCAAATACCTGGATCATATTACCATATGTGGTGGACATGCACAGAAGCTAAAAGATATTGGACAAAAATGCATACATGGTTGGAAAAGATGATAAAACAACATATAGTCTTAAAGCCTGAGATATTTTTACTGGGGATCCTACCTGAGAATTATAGTAAAGAAAAAAATGTATTTAATTATACATATATTAACAGCAGCTAGAATTGTATTTGCTCAAATTTGGAAAAATGAAAAGATTCTGGTGGAGGAGGAGGTGATTAAGAAAATATTGGAATGTGCAGAAATGAGTAGATTAACATTGGCAATTAGAGAACAAGAAGAAATGGAGTATTATATGATTTTGGATTTATTTTATAAATGGTTGGAAAATAAAGTAAGAAATTAAATGACATTGTTATGATATATAATGATATATAATGCTGAATAGGCTATAATATGAATGTAAACTTAGTAAGAAACGTGTACAAATATTAATATGTGCACAAGATGTATGTACCCAGCTGACACACTGTATAACTGAAAGATGGTTTTATTTTTTGTTATAAAAATAAAAAATTCTTTATAAAAAAAAGGTTCTATCGACCTGTTCAAATCTAATTGGGTGTTTTAGGGCTCTACTCTTTATCCGTAATTCAACGGTTCAATGTTCAATGATTGGAAGCCCAATTAAACACCAGGTACATCCTGTGTCAATTACTGCTTCTTCCTTAAAAATTTTTTTTTGAAAAATACTTTATTTAAATTCAAATTATTAAAAAGTTTACAAGAATTCAAAATATTAAAAAAATGTTTACAAAGATTTCTCTAATAGAAGATGTGTCAATATCTTTCAGCATCATTTTTTTTGACAGTACAATAAATACAATACATACAATTAATACTTGACAGTTATTCATAGTATTGGTAATACTAATTCACAGTGCCTTAATAATATTGATAAAAAGTGATTCATGTATATAGGTCATTGGTTTAAAAGAGAAAAATGTGAATATGGGTTGCGTTAAGCTCCATGTCAGTTGGGGAGGTTGGGACTGTGGGACATAACGTCCCACTTCATGTCGCTCAAAATGCTCTGGGAGTCCTGTCAATGATTGGCTTGGAGACGGAGACAACAGGTTCCAGTCTCGGGAGTTGTCAGACCCCATCTGTCCATTCTGGCTCGTGGGCTGACTTCAGTGGGCTGAAGTCAGAACGATGTTCAGGTGGCCTTTCCTCCAGTCCCATCTCTGGAGTTGGATCAGTGTGGCAACTTTTCCAGGAATCCGTTTCCTTGGGCTGACTGCCTAGCCTTCGTCTCTCCTCTGCAGCTTCAAGGGCTCGCACCACATCTTCAAAAGGAGAATACCAGGTCTTGATAAGTTCTCCGGTATCCGTTCCCACAGCTCCTTCTGTTATCTCCTCTTTCTACTCCATCTTCGCTGATTCTTCTCACTGCCCAAACTTTAGGTCGGTACTGGGGCTCAGCACCCTAGACAACCCCCTTTTGGGGTGCTGGTAACTATTTAGAGATTCGGGTTAATGTCAGGGTTCCAGAAAAACCCAACTCCAATTAAAAACTTTGAGACAGGCATTTTCTCAAAGTTTCCTTTTATTAGAGTAGGTATACTGGCACATTTTTACTCTTTCAAATTGAAAGCAAGTTTTCCCTTAGTAATTCAAAAGTCAAAACCCAACCCCTGCACCCATCAGTCCATCACATGGTCCAATCACCAACCGTCCCAACTTGAGATATACCTTCAACCACTCCTCCTCCAGGTGCAGGAATAACATGACCTTGACTGAAAAGAAGAATGCTATTATGTCTAACTACCAACACTCTAAAATTGCGCCGCTCCTACTTTCCCAGGCACAGGAATGTGGCAGCATGGAAGCTTCTGGTTCTAAAATGGCTTCCAAAGCTGACAGGGACATGGCTTGGTCTAGGATGGTCACAGATTCCCAGTTGAAACTATGGTTAAGTCTGTCCATGTGTTGTGAAATTAAGGAGTTTTCATCATGTCTTCTGACTGTAAGCTGGTGTTCATGGATGTGTTCTGCCTGTTTGTTCTACATACTGGCTGCTGCAGTGCTTACACTGTATGTTCTAGAGGGCTCTTGTTTTTTCTTCTGGGCCTGCTGGGTCTTTCGGTTTACTTAGGATGTTTTGGAGGGCTTTCACTGTAGCCATCTTGCTGCAGCTGTCTTGCTGCAGGACAACTTGATGTGGCCAACTCACTGTGTGACAATTCAACAGGGAATAACTCAATTCGGGATAACTCAACACAAGATTACTGTTATCCACCACTGTTTCTTTGACATTGTTTTAATTTTTGTCATTCACATTTCATTTTGTCCCTCCTTTAGCATCCTTTCTTTAATGATTCTATTCCACTATTTCATCAATATTATTTTTTCAAGACAGCCACAGTGAGACAGCCATGGTAAGTTGTCCCATTCCGGTGCTGTATTGGGGTTGAGTGGTCAGGCACTTTCTGATGAAGTTACACAGATATCCATAGGGAGCAAACCCCACTCTCTACTAGTTCTGATGTTACCTATTTGGTAATGAAACATCTGCAAGAAAACAACCAAGCTCAGAGAACACCAAGGACCCCACATTTCAAATTTATGCTTTTCGTTTATTTATAGCACTTCAGCTAGCATTCTTGGAGTATCGAAATATCCAACAACCTGAACCCAGGTTTGATTTATTTATTAAATTTATAGACAGCCAAGCTTGTTGTTTGGTTTTATAACTTCTACTGAAGATTAGTTTAAGCAAGAGCGTTATAAGTCTAGATCTACATTGTTTTATTTTAAATATTAAAAACTCCAAATTCCGATGTTCCTTAAATAACTTGTTTTTCCATTTTCTAAAAACCCCTTTTTCTAAGTTTCTAGAAGTGATTCCAGTGCCATTTATTTTCCAAGTTGTGTTAATTAGATCCGCTTTGATAAATGTGGATAAATATAGTGGTGATCAGCTTTTTTGGTAAGCAGTCATAAGTTATACACTAAATATTATTGTGCATAATATTATCACATAAATGTGATATCTGCACCTTTACTTTCCATGTTCTGATATGTTTTGATTCTACTCAATCAGATTACCTGAAATAAACACTTTAAAAAGGCCTGAAAGAAGGATGCCCTAGCTGAGCACTGAAACCATCTTTTATAAACAATGGTTGGCTCAGATACTGAAGAAAACTAAACAAACACATGGGTTAATATGACATGAGAATCTGCTTAGTATTTTGCCACTGATTATACTATTAAATTCAAATTAACTTCAAATATTTCTACTTCTTTTTAGATCTTTCTCTTTTCAGTTGAGAAGCTTTCTGTCTTGTTTCTATAGAATACTTCTTTCTGAAATCTGCAGCAAGGAAACATACAACATACCCCAACCTCAGTGGCCAATACTTAACCCTAAATTTCAATACCCACCTTCCTCTGCCCAAGCTGGGGGATGAATCTGAAGTGGTGGATTCTACTCACCCGCTCCCTACTTCTCGCTTCATGTAGCTTGTAGTACTTTGCATCTGTGTTCTGTTCTGTCCTGGTTGTCTGGTTTGTGGGTTCCTAACACTGTTGATTAATCGGTCAGCAGAAAGATTGAATATTGTAGGATACTCTAGCAATCCAGTCCCTCTGTCTGCAGTAGAAATTGTATGCCGTAGATGTGATTTGCTCGGATTTCTGGGACAGGGAAAAATAAAAACCTTTCAGAGCTGTCATATGACATCTTTAGGGGGTGTATAGAATTGCATCAACGTGCACAGCTTATACTGGGGTCTAAGGCCAATTGATCACACTGTACTGCACCACCCTCTGTATTTCAAAGAATGCCTCTGGGGTGAGTAGCTGGCTGCAATCCAGAGCTGGTTCTGCAAACATACCTCTCTGCACAGAGAAGTCTCAATGGTCATTTTGTACTGGAGCTATATATAAAAAAATTAATTACCTTTGCAGATAATCTCCAAATTTGCTTTGGTTCTTTCTCTTCTACACAAACATTTCTTTCTTTCCCTATTCCATTTTACCTGCCTTTCTTGTTGTGTATACCTTCCTAAGAGACCATGGCCTTATCATCTTGAGAACTGTGACATTTTGTGATGGAATAATGCAGGGGTGGGATCTGACCGGTGTTAACTACTGGTTCGGTGATTTTGCAATTTGTTGTGTGCGTGTGGAACATCGTCAGCTATGCCTCCCAAACAGCTGAGCAGTGCTGTGCGCAGGTGCGCATTTTAAAAAGCACTATTTTCCTGCTTTTTCAAACACAGCTGTGCCGCGCAAAGCAGCTGAGGTTGAAAAAGCAGGAAATAAAGGTCAGGTAAGAGCCTGGGCAGGCGGGTGGGCCAAAACAGCAGCAGACATAGAACTGGTTCTATGTTTGCTGCTCTTCAGAGCTTCCGATTCTACAGAGCCATACAGAACTGGTAGAATCCCACCCCTGGAATGTCCAAAATCCCTGAGAGATATGTGAGTTTATTTGCTCCAGGCATATTGCCCAGGTAGATAAAAATGTATTAACAGAACTTGCCTGTTTCTTGGAGAATACTGCCTGAGGGAAGTCAGGGGAGAAGCAGTTGGCTTGAAAGAAGGAGCTGTAAATCCATTGATAAATCCAGTATTTGGAAACGGTGTGACCTATGGAACAGATATACTTCAGATGTAGATTTGAAACTTTCAGTATAACCATAAAGTTCTGAAAACAGGACAATGGCTTCATTGGTTCACTTTACTTTTCCTCAAGGTTTTTGACAGGAGCATCATACTTTTGCTTAATGTTACTTACATTTGGCTCTTCTGGACAAAGATATGACAAAACATTTCATTATGCAATTTTACATCCATTTTGTTTAGTACAGCTTAGTATAATGGATTTATAAAAATCAATACACATCAAGGACAAGGCGACACTCAGATTTACACTGGTAGTTCTAAAAATAAGGTCTTAATTGTATTTTTATTCAAGAATAGAAAGCAAGTTATATTACAGCATGATGCCTGGAATTTAAATCTATTTTATGTTGCATCCCAGATCCTATTTAAACAGAATGTTCTGAATTTGAATCATAGTACTAGGTCTAGTAATATAAATTGATCTCTAAAATAAGCTACTTTAGTAAATGCCCTGATGTCAATCTGCAAGAGGAAAGCACGGGTCTAAAAATTACACATTGCAAAGACTGAAGGAATATACTGCAGAATTCAAGACTGTACCATCAGGTTTCAAGTACAGAGGGATTTCTAATTTCCCCATTAAAAGTTCCTTTTGTCTTGTTGATTACCATTGCTAAAAGGTTTTGCATAGGAGTTTTGGGTGCAGAGGAATAATACACATAATGGTTGTAAAACACAGTCCTCTAAGCTTCCTCTTCTTGGACATCCCAAAGGTGCTTTTTCAGGAGGCAACTGGACTGTCTTGTTTTTTCTTTGAAGATGTTTCGCTTCTCATCCAAGAAGCTTCTTCAGCTCTGACAGGATAGTGGGGAATGGAAGGATTTATATTCCTTGCAGACAGCTGGTCATTTGCATCCTTTTAGAGGGTCATTGAAGCACTTGGAGGTTTATCTGTGTCCTCAAGGTCACCTGAGTAGTGTTCCTGGTACTTGTAATCTGCAAATTTTTCTCTGTAAATCCATTCCTACTCCCACACCATTCAAAGGGTGTTCCTTCTAAATTGTATGGCTAAAAGTCTGTAGTCTCAGTCATCCAGAAGCTTGCAGACAACTGGTCTGCAGACTTTTAGCCATACAATTTGGGATGAACACCCTTTGAAAGGTGTGGGAGTAGGAATTGATTTCCAGAGGAAAAAATTGCAGACTACAGGAACCAGCAGTGCTACTTAGGTGACCCTGAGGACACAGATAAATCTCCAAGTGTTTCAACGACTCTCTAAAACAGGGGTGTCAAACTTGCAGCCTGTGGGCCGGATGCATCACGTGCTGGCCACACCCACCCCTGGTTTAGCAAAGGGGGAAAAAGTCACAATACATAATGTGAAGATGTGATGCTCCTGCTCTAAAAGGATGCAAATGACCAGCTGTCTGCAAGGAATATAAATCCTCTCATTTCCCACTATGCTGTCAAAGCTGAAGAAGCTTCTTGGATGAGAAGTGAAACATCTTCAAAGAAAAAACAAGAAACTCCAGTTGCCTCCTGAAAAAGCACCTTTGGGACAACCATGACCTGGATGACTGAGGATCTCTACAGACTCTTCTTGGACAGTTCCCTCAAATCATCTGCAACAGCATAAACTTCAGACAAACAAACAAATTGTTCCCTAGTGCTTACCAGTGATGGATCAAGATAGCTGTGTGCTGTAGACCAAGTCTGTGGTGCAATCAAGCTATACAGTGGAAATTGCTGCTGGGGACTGTATAGTGGAGGTAAGTACAATGATGTTGTATAATGCTGTTGTGTGTAGATATTCATATCCAGAGGTCTGTATCCATTCTTTGGCAAAAATGTATTTATAGCTATTGCTTTTGCTTTTATTCTTGCCTATAAATGACAGATTACATTCTTAGAAGGTGATGTTCAGAATGATCATAACTATAATTTGAAAACCCAAAATAACACATTTACCTTAATTGGTTTTCCTTGGAAAATTTTCACTTCTTCTCTAAGGTATCTGTAAGCCTTTAAGAAAAGCATTATACTTGTTTGAAACAGAGCAATCAAATTAGTGGGAACAAAAGAATTAATACCTTTCTACTTAAGAAAAGAGGGTCACATGTAATTCAGGCTTACAAATAATATATTATAGCTTCCGTGTTTGGAAACTTATCAGTTTTGGTATGTTTACTTTGATCTGGCAATAACTACATACACTACATGCACAATTATTAGGCAAGTGAGTATTTTGACCATATCATTTTTATGGATATTTTCCACCTCCAAGCTGTATAAACTTGAATGCTTAGTGGATATAAGCATATCAGGTGATGTGTACTTGTGTAATGAGGGAGGGTGTGGCCTAAGGAGATCAACACACGATATCAAGGGGTGCGTAATTATCAGGCAGCTTCTTTTCCTCAGGCAAAATGGGCCAAAAAAGAGATTTAACTGACTGAAAAGTCAAAAATTGTAAAAAAGTATTTCAGGAGGGAGGGCAGAGGTGGTGTCGTGGTGGTACTGTTGGACGGTCCCACCAGACCTAAACCATCCCGTAGAGATGGTGATCGATAAGGGCACGTCCTGCTGATCCCAAGGACACCGCAAAGTCCCTGGTAGATCCAGGAGAAGCCCTTTTTGCTGGCAGCGGAGAGGTAGCCATTTACGTTGCTGAAGCTGGGACAGTTCCGGAATGGAAGAGATCAGAAGAAAGTGTGTCAGTTTGGTGAGATGAATTTTTACTTATTATTTTTTGGAGAGAACACCCTAAAAGACTTAAAGTAAAATCAAAAGTGAAGAGAAAAGAGGTCTAGCGGTGAGATTAAGCTAGTTAAACTGAAGGGTTTTTTTCCCCTTTTTATTGAACTTGGAATTTGGCAAAGCTTCTCAATTTTAAACTGGACTGGTCTTTTTTAATTTTTTATTTTCTTTAACAATTTTCTTGAAAGTCTGTTTTGATTAAGACTCTTCTTTCTGATTTGAGATTTATTTCTTTCCCTTTTTTTAAAAAAGTACTTTTTTTAAATCTGTTCCTGGCTTTGGATATATGAGGGGAAGTGAAAGTGAAGGAAAATAAGTAGCACTGCCATCTAGAGGCTTGGATATATTGTTTAGATAGATATAGATAGTCCATATCTATAGATAGTTGGAGTCTGAAGTTGAAGTTGAAAGAAAGAAGATTGAAGTGACCTTAAAAATACTGGAACTGGAAAGTCTGATTTGATTTACTAAAGAGTCTTGGATATTTAGTGGCAGTGGCTTGCTTTTTGTTAGAATTGCTTGCTATTCTTTTTTTTTTACTTCCCCTCTAGCCGGATATTTATGTTTGGATTTTAGCCTTTTAACCCAGGAACTAGACTATATTTTTCCTTTTGCTTCCTTTTTTATTAAGGGAAATACATAGACTATGATTTTTTAATTTTTTTCTTCCTTCCCTTTATCCTTTTTAAAAAAAATCTTCTCTACTTTTTTACCTGTTCCCTTTTTCACATTTTTTTCTTTTTGCATATTACTGGAACCAACTGGATTAAGGTATACAAGTTCCTGAAGATTTTTCTCCTCCCTTTTTATTTTTTGGAGTGGCAGCTGCTTGCTTTTGTTTTCTTTTTTTCTTTCTTTCTTTTTTTATTGCTAAGCATTACAAGATGAGTAGAAAGACAGCAGCCTCAGCTTCTTCAATACCAATAGCTTCCTCTTCACTATCCAAAGGACAATGATCAATACAGATGATGTTACAACAGGAGAAAGAGAAGGAAGTAACATTGCAGATGATTATGCAAGGAATCCAAAAGATTGATAAGAGAACGGAGAATATTGAGCAAAGAACTGAAAAGACTGATATGGATGTCAGCAGAACTACTTTCTAATATACGGGAAATTGAAATGGAAACAAGTACTTGGGCAGACCAAAGCCCAATGACAGTTACATGGAAAGGACAAAAGAGGAGATCTAGATGGGCCTTAAATAATACGATATTGAAGGAAAAAGACTTTAAACAGAAAATGGAGAGAGAATTGGTTTTCTTTTGTAAAGAAAATAAAAAAGAGGAGACACCTCTACAAAACCGCTGGGACACGATGAAGGCCTACACAAGAGGCTTGATAATAGATTATACAAGGAAAAGAAATATAAAACAGAAAAAGACTTTCAAAATACTAGAAGATGACTATAAGAGACTGGAAAAAGAATTACAGAAGTTTCCGCAAAAAAAGGACATTAAAATTAAAATGGACATAACTAAACATAAAATGGAAAAAGAGGAATTAGCACAAAAAATTAAAAATGCTAAACAGAATTACTTTGAAGATGCAAACAAACCCTAGCCTATAAATTGAGAAAGGAAAGAGAATCAAGAAGGATTAGTCAGTTAATAGATGAAGAAGGACATGTTTGCTATGGAAATGAGGAGAAGAAAAAAATTATAGAACATTTTTATGGAAAACTGTATTATCAAGACAATATTCAAGAAGAAAAAATTAAGCAATATTTACAGAAAGTGAAGTTACCCCAGATACCCAAAGATCTTGAAACAATGTTAGAAGGGAACATAACGATGATGGAATTAACCGAAGCCTTAAAAAAACAGAATGTTGGAAAAGCACCAGGTCCAGATGGTTTACCAGCGGAATTTTACAAGACTTTCCAGGAAATACTGAATCTTCAACTTTTAGAAGTCATGAATGAAGTTATGTCAAAGAAGAGAATACCCAAAACATGGTCAAAAGCATATATTACATTTATACCAAAGGAAGACACAGACCCGCAGCAAGATAAAAACTATAGACCTATATCCCTATTAAATTCAGAATATAAAATTTTTGCTTCAGTCTTGGCAGAAAGACTGAAAAGATACTTAAATAATTTTATCCATGCTGATCAAAATGGATTTCTGCCAAAGAGACAAATTAAAGACAATATGAGAATAATTCTGGATACTTTGGAATACTATGAGGCACATCCTGAAAAGCAAATGGCCTTGATGTTTTTAGATGCAGAAAAAGCCTTTGATAATGTGAGTTGGCAATTTATGTTATTGCAACTGGTACAAATGGGTTTTGGTAAAAAATTAATTCAAGCCATTGAAACGATATATCATAAACAAACTGCAAAGGTTTAAATAAATGGAGAATTAACAGAGTCTATAGATATAAGAAAAGGGACTAGACAAGGTTGCCCACCGTTTGTGTTAACATTGGAAGTGTTGAATAGGAATATTAGAGAAGAAAAAGAAATAAAAGGAATGAAAATCAAAAAGGAAGAGTATAAGTTGCAAGCTTTTGCAGATGACCTGGTATTTATATTAGAGGATCCATTGGAAACAGCACCTAAATTAATAGAAAAGATAGAAGAATATGGAAAAGTAGCAGGTTTGAAAATAAATAAAGATAAAACAAAGATATTAACAAAGAATATGTTAGCAAGACGAAAGAAAGAGTTGGAAGAAGTTTTAGAAATACAGGTCACAAATAAGGTCAAGTATTTAGGGATATATATTACACTAAGATGTAATACATTGAAGGAGGATAACTATTTTAAACTCAAACAACAGATTGCGACAGACTTGACAAAATGGGAAAATTTACAATTATCATTGATTGGGAGAATATCTACAATTAAGATGAATGTATTGCCTAGAATTTTATAACTAGTTCAGACAAATCCAATTCGATTAGGGAAAGAGTTTTTCAAAGACTTAAATAAAATTGTGTTGAAATACATCTGGCAGGTAAGAAAGCAAGAATAAAACTTAAACTGTTACAAGATGCAAGAATAAGAGGAGGCTTTGCTTTGCCCAATTGGGAATTATATTATCAGGTGACAAATCTGATGTGGGTAAAGGAATGGAACAGTAGGAACAGTAGGTTATTGACTTTAGAAGGACATGACTTGCTGTTGGGATGGCATGCTTTCCTCTGGAATAAGGGAACTAAAACACAGGGGTATTTTAGAAGACATTATATTCGAGAGGCATTGTTTTTGAGCTGGGAGAAGATTAAAATACAATATTACTTAAAAATTCCATTATGGATATCTACCATTGAAGCTTTTTCTTATCCAATAATATATAAAAAGGAACAAACAGTTAGACATGACGAGATATTGAATGAAAAGGGTGAACTTAAATCTATGCAAGCGTTGGAAGAACAAAGTATAAAAATGAATTGGTTTTCATATTTGCAAATACAATCTAGATTTGATAAAGATCTTAAAACAGAAGGTGTCTATGATAAGTTGACTGATTTAGATAAAATTTTGATGGGTACTGATGAAAAGGTAATTAAAAAACTCTATAGATATTTATTAGAATTTAAATTAGAGGAAGAACAAGTTAAAGAAACGATGATTGCTTGGGGGAAAATTTTTGGATATGGGATTGATTTAGAGAAATGGCAAAAATTGTGGTCTCAAAATTATAAAATGACAATGTCAACTGCTTATAAAGAAAATTTGTATAAGATGTTTTACAGGTGGCATCTACCCCCGACGAGAATTGCCAGAATGTTTAAGAACAAATCGGATAAATGTTGGAAATGTCATCAGATACCTGGTTCACATTACCATATGTGGTGGACATGTTTGGATGCAAAAAGATATTGGACTAAAATCCACACATGGTTGGAAAAAATGATAAAACATCATATAGACTTTAAACCAGAAATATTTTTATTGGGAATTATACCGGAAATATACAATAAAGAACTGAAATTTTTGATTGTAAATGGTTTAACAGCGGCTAGAATTGTATTTGCTAAGAATTGGAAAAACGATAAAATACCTATGCAGGAGGAAGTTATTAAGAAAATTATGGACTGTGCTGAAATGAGTAAATTGACATTTGAAATTAGAGAACAAGAAGATAAACAATTTTATATGATATGGGGTTTGTTTTATCAATGGTTGGATAAAAAGACATGGTAATGTAATAGACTAGGAAAGTTTGTAATAGAAGTTTAATAGATCGATATAAAATTTAATACAGATATATATAACCATTGGATGAAAGTACAATATAAATTTCATAATAAAATCTAGAATATTTCGTATAAAATGATGGAATAAACAGTTTTGTCATGAATGATTAATAACTGATAAATATATAAGCATATGTTAGTTTGACAATGTGAGAATTTATATAAACTGTGAGTCATGACTATGAAAGGATAGCACAAAAGATTTGTAACCAACTGACACACTGTATGTATATAAAATGGAAGATGGCTTTATGTTTTTATGTTTTGTTTGTATATGTTTCTCTTAAAAAATAAAAAAAATATTAAAAAAATGCAAAAAGTATTTCAGAGGGATACAGCACTATTGAAATTGCTAAGATATTGGTGTGTGATTACAGAACCATGAAATGTGTTTTTGCAAATAGTCAACAGTGTCGCAAGAAGCGTGTTGAGAAAAAAAGACACACCTTAACTGCCAAAGATTTAAGAAGAATCAAACATGAAGCTACCAGGGACCCATTATCCTCCAGTGCTGTCATATTTCAGAACTGCAAACTACCTGGAGTGCCCAGAAGTACAAGGTGTTCAGTGGTCAGAGACATGGCCAAGGTAAGGAAGGCTGAAACCTGACCACCACTGAATAAGACACATAAGTTGAAACAGCAAGACTGGGCCAAGAAACTCAGATGCCAGCAAGGTAGAGGTGGGGTACTGGTATGGGCTGGTATTATGAAAGATGAGCTAGTTGAACCTTTTCGGGTTGAACATGGACTCAAAATCAACTCCCAAACCCACTAACAGTTTTCAGAAGACACTTTCTTCAAGCAGTGGTACAGGATAAAGTCTGCATCTTTCAAGAAGATCATGATTTTTATGCAGGACAATGCTCCATCACATGCATCAAAGTACTCCACTGTGTGGCTAGCCAGTAAAGGCCTTAAAGATGAAAGAATAATGACATGGCCCGCTTCCTCACCTGACCTAAACCCTACTGAGAACTTGTGGGCCCTTCTTAAATGGGAGATTTATGGTGAAGGAAAGCAGTACACCTGTCTGAACAGTGTCTATGAGGCTGTGGTTGCTGCTGCACAAAAAGTTGATCGTCAACAGATCAAGAAACTGCCAGACTCCACAAATGGCAGGCTTATGACTGTTATTGAAAAGAAGGGTGGCTATATTGGTCACTGTTTTTTTTTAAATGTCATAAATGTTTATTTGTACATTTTGAGTTGTTCATTTATTATTCTCACTTTAACAAATGCAAATAAACAAGTGAGATGGGGAAATTTTCATTTTTCATTTAGTTGCATAATAATTCTGCACACTAATTGTTGCCCAATAATTGTGTACACATATTCTCCTAAGAAAGCCAAAACCTCACTTTGACTGTCTTAAATATTCAGGTTTAAGGTTTATTAACATTTTGGATTGACCAAAAACACTGTAGTTGTTCAATAATAAAATTAATCCTCCAAAATACAACTTGCCTAATAATTGTGCACACAGTGTATTGTGGAAAAGAATCAGCTACAGAAAGCACGGGGAATGTTTGCAGTTATGGGGCTGAAAACTGTCTTGAGAGAAATCCAGGCAAACGTAACAATCGTAAGATACTATAGGCTTTTTAGATCTACCAAAGTCAACAGGAACAAGTTATATAACTAATTTTATTGGGATTTGAATCCAAGTAGTACCACTAAAATCTTATTGCAGATCAAGAACAGCTTCTGGGTCCTTTTCATCAGGCTTCCAGGATCTATCAAGATCACGCTAATAAAATAGGAAAAAAATAAACTATGTGCTATGCTTCCAAATACCTTCCAAACTGGAGCAATTCCAATTATACAGAAACATTGATGGTGGATGTTTATTTGTTGTTTATTTAATAATTTATTCTGACTACCTTTAATTATTTGCTGACTACCAAACTGGGAAATAATTAGCACGTATAACTATGGAACCCTTATTTGCATAACAGAGTCAGTGTTTCATTCCAAATGTGGCAGAATGATCCCTTGTGGTCAGGGGTGGGATGCAAATATTTTTTACTACCAGTTCTGTGGGCATGGCTAGATGGGCGTGGGTAGGTGGGTGCGGCCATGTAACTGGGTGGGTGTGGCTTCTTTTTTGCAGCACCCTCCCACGCTCCTTTTTTTTTTGCCTCCTGGGCCTCAGGGAAGCCTCCTGGGAGGCGGTTTTTGCTCCCAGAAGGCTTCCCTGAGGCCCAGGGGGCCTAAATGGAGAGCAGGGGTGCGGGCAGCGAAGCAGTAAGACAGCGAGGGGGATCCCGGCACAGCTGATCGTTGGAACAGGTGATCGTTGGAACAGGTGATCATCAGGAGGGGAAGAAGAAAAAAGAAATACTGTAAGAAGAAAAAAGAAATACTGTAAGGAGTGACTGGGCGGGACAGGGTGGGCGGGGGACAATGCAGTCAGTGATGCGCGCAATGTCGCACATGCGTGATAAGGACTGACTTGGGCGAGGAGCGGCAGGCGGAGAGGGGCAGGGCCAGCCAGGGACACGATTTTCCAGTTCTCCAAACTGGGCAGAATCTTAACAACTTGTTCTATAGAACCGGTCTGAACCGGTAGTATCCCACCCCTGCTTGTGGTACTTAGTAGCTGTGGTCTTCTTTGATTGTATTCTTATCATAATGAGTAACTGGAAACATACAATCTCTGAAACAAGTAATTTGATATAACATAGGCACAAGTGCACAAACCCACACACAAAAAAGAAAGCTTACCTGTTGCGCATCTGCTTCAGACTCGAATGTAATAAACCAGTTATCATTATAGGCAAACTCACAGTTGATGAAATTAGGCAGGTTCTCACCTTTGAAGAGCGCTTCAACTTCCTAAAATAGATAGATAATGGATGGAAGGACAGACAAGGTTGGAGAGAAGGGTTCATTGAGAAATACACCCAAAGACTGATTCACCCACAACTGAAGCTGTATTATAAGTAACTGTAAAGAGTATCTAGGATCTAATATCGTTCTGCTTAATTTCAAGACAGACTATGAAATACTAAATAGTAAAATGCTCTAGGTATCCTCTGTCTTATTATTTTAGTATTCTTGTAAAATTAAAAAATGCACCTCTATAAGCTTTGCTGTTGAAATAATATACTTACATCAATTGGAGTAGATTCGGGTACCTCACGTAAAATTACAATGCAGCGATTTTGGTTTGGCCTGACTTTTTCACCTTTCTCATCAACTTGGACTAAAGGCAATGCTGAAAAAAGGACAATCTTGTTGCTTTGGTATCAACAAGTAGAGTTCTGTTTTATTGTTACTAATTTTAACACTCTTATTAACCAATAGGAGTATTAGATCAGTTGTTTATTAAAAATACGATTCCTCGTTTTAACCCTTCCCAGACAAGTTCAGAGCCATGATCTACTGTATATTTTATCTAATTGAAATATGTTTGAGGAGTACATAGCAGATTGCCCTCTCCTTTTCCAGAAGGGTCTTTGTTCTCCTGTAAACTACAGTCTGATCTCTTATACAGGCAATCCTCATGGTACGACAGGCCATTTAATGACATTTCCAAATTATGACAAAAACACCCCCCCTCCCCAGCTACATATGACCCCACATGAACCCAAGTTCCAATGGCTGCAGTGGGCCTGTGGTCATTTGCCCTTACGAACCATTACAAGGTCATTGCAGCACCCTCTGCCTCTCCCCCCACCCCCCGCCAGTGGTTGGCCTCCTCCCCACATGCCCATCATGGCTCACATTTACCTTTTGAAGCTCTCCTGACCTCATGTTGTAGAAGCAGGGCAGGCCATGTGTCCCAGGCTGCGATCCAAATATGGCCATCATTTTGTCCCACCAGTTTGTGGGTGGGACAAAATGTCGGCCACTTTTGGAACTGTGCCATGCAGTTGTGTAAATAAGGAACTCATTCCGGCACTCTGGAAGGCCTCAGAGCTCTTCAAAAGGTACATGAGTTGAAGGGTGTTTGACTTGGTGGGGTGGGAATCAGGCATAAGGCCTGGGAGGACCCAGTGGGAGTGGGAAAAGGCCTGTTGGAACCCAAGGTGTGGGAAGTGGAGCATGGGGTGTCTTGAGGGTGGTTGAGGCCTTGGGAGGGCTAGGGCAAGTGGGTCTGGTCTGTACTAGGCCTTCACCTGCCTCCCCCACCCAGGAGGCACCCTACCAGTGGTGGGCTGCTACCGGTTCAGAATGGTTCTAGCAAACCGGTAGTTCCGGTGAGCAGTTGGCCCTGCCCACTCGCCCTTTCCTGTCCTATATTTTCCTGTTTTTTTAGCTCAGCTGATTCGTGTGACACAGTGGATTGCCGTGCCTCAGCTGTTTTACTCAACAGCGCTGACATAGAAGGTAAGTTTTTAAGCTTAAAATGGGTGGTTTTTGAACACTGCGTGCGCTCATCAAACCAGCTGTTAAACTGGTTGCAGCCCATCACTGCACCCTACACTCCACTTTAACAAGGCTCTGTGACACATTTGGGTTAAATGAGAGGATGTGGGATAAAGACATCTCTCTGGAAGATTGTAGTTACTTCTGCTACCACCTAAAAACTACACCAAGGCAGGGCAAGTTTGTGTACCATCCAGAGGGCTTCTGGAGGGAAGAAGATAACGCTGACTTTTCATACTATAGGCTCACCCCTGCCACTTTACCATTAAACATACCCAATGCCTAAGGTAGAAATTATCTTAACTGCTCTATCTCCATGTCTAAATTTTAGTATTTAGCAATAGTATCTAGGCTTATATACTTCCCCATAGCACTTTACAGCACTCTCTGGGCAGTTTATAATGTATTTGCATATTGCCCACAACAATCAACCTCAGAAGGATGGAGGGCTGAGTCAACTTTGAGCCCCGTCAGGATGAAACTTCAGGCTGTGGGCAGTTTGCCTGTAATATTGCACTTTAACCATTGCACCACCACAGCCCCCACTTTAAACAGTGATGCACAGCTGTTCTGACTTGGAAAAGGGGCTTTGGATGGGGCCGAGGAAACCTCCTTAAAGAAGCTGTGCCTTTTCCTAGGCTTGATCCATAGTCATGCAATCTCAGAAAAATATATATGGAGATTTTCAGTCATCCAGATCATGGTTCTCCCAAAGGTGCTTTTTCAAGAGGCAAATGGACTTTCTGCTTTTTCTTTTAAGATGTTTCTCACTTTTTATCCAAGAAGCTTCTTCAGCTCTGACTAGATTGTGGGAAATGGAAAGATTTATAATCCTTGCAGACAGTTGGTCATTTGTATTATTTTAGAGAGTCCATTAAGGTCACCTAGAGGTTTGGATTACACTTTGGATTATAATTGGCTACCTTACTAATTGGATTAAGGTCTAAAAGAATTTGAAGGTCTTGAATTGTTCAAAATGAGTAGGAAACTCATACCTTCTGGTGCCTCAACTTCTACTTCTGCCTCCCCACCATCTGGAGGACAACGCTTAATTCAGACAATGTTAAAGCAAGATAAAGAACAAGAAAAAGTGACTCTACAGATGATTATGCAAGGAATCCAAGATCTCAAGACAAAATCAGATACCATTGAACAAAGAATAGAGAACACTGAACAAAGAACAGGGAAGACTGATGAACAAATTGAAAATATCCAACAAATGATGGCGAAGTATGATGAGAGATTCCAAAAAATTAAAGAAGAAGATAAACAAAGAGAGGAGAAGATTGGAAACATTGACAGCAGATTAACAGTGGTTGAACAAGATAAAAGTGGGATGCTGAGGTGGGAGATGGACAGGTCAGAATTCTATATCAGATTTCAAAATATAGAGGAAGAAAAAGGAGAAAACTTAGCTGCGATAATGATAGAAATTCTGGCTGAAGCCTTGGAAACAACAGAGGAAAAGATGATGGATGGAGTAGATGAGGTATACCGAGTCTTTACAAGATATGCAATGAGAAACAATTTACCAAGAGAAGTTCACATCAGATTTACCAAAAAATCCATTAAAACACAAATATTACAAGTGGCAAGAGAGAAGACGTTGAAATACAAAGGCAAGGAGATTGTGGTCTTAAAGCAAATACCTAGAAGAGTGAGAGAGATGAGAAGAGAATATCGATTTCTGATTAAAATGCTATTGAAAAAGGAGGTGAATTATAGATGGCTGATTCCAGAAGGACTAATGTTTACATGGCAAGAACAGAGACACAGAATTGATTCAATTGAGAAAGCAGAACTTTTCTACGCAGAATTTTTTGGAAGGAGAGAGGAAGAGGCAGAAAAAGAGGTCTCACTAATTGAATTCCAAGAGGACCAAATGGGGACTGAAAAAGAAGAAGGCGCAGTAGGTGGACAGGTGGAGACCAAAGAACAACGTGGACCAAGATCTACAAGAGCTGCCAAACCTAATTACAAAATATAATCATGGAAGAGAAAAAAATGATTACAATGAATATAAATGGACTTAATTCAGCTGTTAAAGGAAGGAAAATCTTTCATAAACTAGAGAAATTAAAATTTGATATAATTTGTTTACAAGAAGTACATATCAAAAAACAATATGAACAATTGTTGGTACAGCCAAAATTAGGGAAAATATTTACTTCTTTGACTCAATGTAAGAAAAGAGGAGTGGTTTTATACATTAAAGAGGCTATCCCAACAAAATTGATTTATACTGATGAAGATGGAAGAGTATTAATGGTGGAAATAATGGATAATAATATGAAAACACTCCTGATTGCAATTTATACTCCGAATGATAAACAAGAAGAATTCTACAAAAAATTACACATGAAAATAATTGGACTGGGGGAGGGGTGGAGCTGGCGTCACGACGGTACGTTCTGCAATCGAGCTCCAAGATTGCAGCTGATATCTTCGCCCCTGGCCGGTCCAAACGGACCTAAACTGTCCCGTAGAGACGGTGATTGCGAAGGGCACATCCTGTGGATCCCAGGGACACTGCAAAGTCCCTGGTTGATTCAGGAGAAGTCCCTTTTGCCGGTGGCGGAGAGGCAGCCCCAAAGTTGCTGAAGTTGGGACAGCTCCGGAAAGGAAGAGACTGAAAGAGAAAGTGTGTCGGCTGGGTGAGAATCTTTTTTTATTAATATTTTGAGACTTGAAAGGACACTCTAAGTATAAGAAGAAATCTGTAAGATTTTTGACAAAATTGAATAAGCGGCGATTTTTAAAGGGAGACGTCAAAGTGAGGCTTGGCTTTTTTTTTTCTTTACTTTTTTTTTACTGGACTTCATCACAACTTAGCAGTTAACTGGACTGAATTTTCTTTCTTTCTTTTTTATATATTCTTTTTTTTCTCTTCTCCTTCTTGATTTTTTAATTTTTTAGATTAGAGGCTCCCTTTAGTTACTTTTCTTTTTATATATATGTATATACTTTCTCTTCTTTTTTAACTTTAATTACGTTTTTCTGGGAGGAGGGGGAAAGTGAGAACAAAGAAACTTCGTAACACTGCCAACTAGAGGCTTGAAAATATTTTACTTGAAGTTGAGAGAACTGTGAAAGACTCCCCTTTCAAGGACATTGCAACTTGATAAGATAGAGGGAAGAGCACGGGAGAATATTATTACAGGTGTTCTTCTGGACTTCTATCAACAATCTAACACTTGAAGCTTGACTTTGAAGTTTGTGGAGAAGAGAGTCATAATAAGAGCCTTGGATAATTAAATAAAGTGCAGTGTGTTTTCTTTTATTTTCTTTTAGTTGTGTTACCCCTCCTTACCAGCTTTACTGTAAACTTTTATTTTTGCAATATTTTTATTTTTGCTTTTTATTTTAAAGGGAAAGCCTCAGATTTTCTCCTTTTTCCTTTTTTGCTTTTTTTTCATTGGGATTTTTGCTTCTTCTATCCATGTTTTTGGTTTACCTTGGTTTCTTTTTATTATTGAGATCTTTCAATTGGATTAAGGTGTGAACAACCTGAAGAAACTTTTCTTTTGTTTTTTTTTTCTTACTATTATTGGGCTTTTTCCTTCTTATTTTTATCCTTTATTGTGGATTATAATTGACTATTTCATAATTGGATTAGGGTTAAGAAGAACCTGAAGAATTTGCTTTCTTTTCCTTTTTCCTTTACTACCATTGGGCTTTTTACCATTGGGCTTTTTACTCTCTACTATTTTTATTCTTCATTTTGGATTATAACTGGCTACCTTACCAATTGGATTAAAGTCTAAAAGAATTTGAAGGTCTTGAATCGTTCAAAATGAGTAGGAAACTCATACCTTCTGGCGTCTCTACCTCTATTTCTGCCTCCCC